GAGAGAGAGAGAGAGAGAGAGAGAGAGAGAGAGAGAGAGAGAGAGAGGACCGTTAAGCAGAGAATATTGACAGAAAAGTTCGATTGCAACTTGGGCGCGCCGCACCAAAGTGAATTTAAAAGGCTAAATGGGATTTGGGTCAAATGCGATTTTCGCATTGTGTCGTTGGTTGCGCTTTACTTGACACCGCATCAACCATAGCACTCTCTCGGCTCCCCCTACTGTTTTCTCTCTCTCTTACTCACGCTTGTTCTCACACTTGGCTGTTCGAAAAGAATCGTTATCGCTGCGGTTGTCGTTGGTTTTGAATGACGGTTTTGATACGCAATCGTGCACACGCCAATACAATTATCGTTAATTTCACCGAATGCTTTTATTTCTATTTCTTTATATTCATGTTCACCATTTTCTAGTTTCTGCCATTCAATATTTTCTTTCTCTCTCTGGCTCTCTCATTTTTCCTCTTCTTGCATCTTTTTTATTCGCAACAAACTGATTTTGACGTTGTCTCTTTTACTCCAGTGCGTAATTTGCGTTGATTACGTGGGGGAGTCAAAGAGAAATAGAACTGGAGTAAGAAAGCGAGTTTTTGGATGAGAAGAAGAAAAATTTATGGCCAAGAAGAAAAATGCGAAAATAAAATTTCCTTAGAAAAATGGAGATTTTGTTTGGATTTTTGTGTTTGGAGTTTCGTTTTATGGAATATTATTTCCCATTGTGAAATGGCAGCAAGATGGTTATCACAAAAATTGTGTAGTGCTCATGCGATGCATGTTGCTAAGGCAAATTCGCAATTCGGACAAAATGAGAATGATTCTCATCAGGAGATGAATTGAGGCGAAGTGGATGAAGAGTAATCAAATTTCTGTGCCCAATATTCAAGTAGCATTTACACGAAATAAGTGAAGATGTTGAAGTATAATAAAAATAAAAAAAATCCAGCCAAAAGAGGAGGAATTGTACAATAATAAAAACTTTTCTGTTTTAAAGCGAAAAAAGGCTATAATATTAGACTTGTGTTTGCTTTCCAAATGTGGAAAAGGTATGCTCTTCTTCGTGGTATTCATCTGAAATGTTATAATTTGACGTTGATTTGGAAAATGATGTTAATGATTTGGATGATGATTGAACAAGGGCCGATGAAACCGGAATGTCGTTTTCATTATTGCGGTTAGATATGAATTGTGAATCGGTAAAATTCATCGAAGAAAATGAGGATGAGCCAAATGTACGATTACTATTACCATCAACATTGTCGTCATCGTCACCATTATGAGTGTGTTTATTACTCTTTGGATTATTGTCTAATCTAACAGATTGTGGATGCAATTTATGGATGTCTTGTTGACAAGGGGAACATGATTGGGTTTGATAATGATAATGTTGCTGTTGTTGGTGTTGTTGCTGATTGTAATTACTTTGATAAACATTGAAAATGTGAGCCGAATTATTGTTTGGCATGGTTGGTGCAACCGGCGTCTGTACACCTTTTGCATGAATATTGATAAAATGTTGACCTTGCAAATGATCGACTTGATTTATGGAATGAATTGTCGATATCGGTACGGAAATATACGGACGTTGTAAATACATTGGCATTTGTTGTGGATGATGACACATCACGTTTGTTGGAATGTTTGTGGTTTGCGGTGCGCTATTATCACTCACCATAAATGCACTAAACGCGCCCGGCTGTGGCATTGCCATTACGTTACAATTCGATTGAGGTGGCGACGATGGAAATGTTAAAAAGTAGTCGGGCTGTTGTGGTGTTGGCAAATTTGAATATTGCACGGGAAGAATTTGCGTAACGGGAAACACTTGAGACGGTGTCGGTGCAGACGATGAATGCTCTTGACTAACATTCGATGAAATTGAAGTATTTTTATATTGGGGTTTTGTTGGCGGCGGCGGCGGTGGTGGTGGGGGTGGTAATGGAGCCTTTCGCACTGGAATTCGACTCGTCGTCGATGTTATTGTTTCGGTGACAATTTTCTCTTGTTGCAACGCATTTCGGATCTCATTTTCATGTAGCAAAATTTCACGGTGTGTTTCTTCGGTAACCAAACTGTATTCGGGGGCGTTTTCATTGTGTTGATCACCACGATGGAATTTTCTCAACTCTTCGGAACTCGTGGATAGGATTTCGACTCTTGAACCATCTTCGGTTTGAATGGGTTTCAATTTATCGACTCCAGGTAACGTTGACAAATTAACTGGTGGCGGCGGTGGACTGACCGTGGGTCGCTCGACGCTTGTTGCGCGCTTATAAATTTTTGAATATGGTGGTGTGGTCGGAGTTTTTGGAATTGGTGGAAGTGGACTGCTTGGATTAAAAGACGTCAGATGTGGTGATTCTTTGGTTTTCTCTTCAACAACCGGTTCGGCCGCTTTGGCCATTGCAATTGGAATGCTAGTGGCATGTTGTTTAATTCGTGAAACTTGATTGGTATCGGCATCGTGAATAAATTCATACAAATCCCCACGTAACATTCCTTCTTGGAATAATTTCAACGCTTCATTTTGCTTGAGATCGGCGTGTTTAACAATGGATGGCGATGACTTCGCGGAAGATGGGGATTTTGGTGGTTTTGGAGGTAATGGTGGCTTTTGTTTGGGTCGATTTATTAATAAGCTACCGGTCGACTGTGCTGTACCCTGTGAAATCAGCGAATATTCTGGTTTTTCACTCAAATCATCGTTCGATTGATGGATTTTCGTTAGAATTTCAGTGTATTCTCTTGATTCGTATGCAGATTTTGGTCGTTGCTTCACCGGTATCAGCGTTTCTGTTCCTTTTTGCACTTCTTTCACATTCATCTCAATCCGTGGCATTTGTTGTGCCGCTTGTTCTTTGAAATTCAATTCTTCGTAAATGTTTTCGGCTCGCCGTCCCAAAACTTCTTTACGGAATGGATTTTCACGTTCGATTTCATCGTCCGACGAATGTGAAATGTTATGTACAACAGCCGTTGTTACACTTGTACTTGGTTGCGGTTGGTGAATAAACGACGTTATCAGCGGTCGATCCAACGAAGATGGAGTTGTTGGTGCTTTTGAACTTGGGCTCGGTGAACGTAGTATACTTTTTACCTGTCTTTTTGGTTTTGTTTTTGGACCACTTGGATATTTAATGGGAACTTCATAACCATCATTGTCTTCGTGTGAATTCTCTCGGCTAAATTGTGATAAAAACAATTCGCCAATGTTATCATTTGTTTGTGGTTCGTCGTCATGCGATAGCACCGGTATATATTCATTATCAGATAAATCAAAGCTAACTGATTTGCGATGTGTCCTTGTTTGTGTTGATGATGTTGTTGATTGTGATCGTGATTTTGGTACATCATATTTATATGGTTCGAATTCAAAGACTTCGATTTCGATTTCGCTTTGATCGGGCATGTCGAATTGTAGTTCCGGTATCGAAGGCGGAGCCGGCGGCGGTTGTGGTGAAGGTGGTCTTGGTGGTGGTAGTTGTTCTTTTGTATTCGAAATCATTGTATCGGCAGATGAAAGACTGTCATTTGATGATTTCGTTGAATCGTATTTATGATGAGAGGTAGAAATCGGTTTTTTCGTACTTCCTATTCGGCTATCGACCTATATGTATATTATTTTGATTGGATTTGTTCGATATTGTTTTGTATATTGTGTGTATGTATTTATAGTGCCAATGTGACAATGTCGGCATGAAGAGAAGATAGCGATTGGGAAAAAGGAAAAAAAAAGAAAGAATATATCATTCATTAAACGGTATCTTCAATATACAAACAAAAAAAATTGCAATTTCCTTAAAACACATGATTGTGAAACGTGGTTCAAAGTTGACAGGTGCACAAATGTAACTGGTTTGAGTTTTTGATTCTGATTGGTGATATAAATGTTAACACAAACAATTGTATGCCTTATGCCGATGAAAGATCGATTTTTTTTTGTTTCTGGACGGACAAATCAAAACTACAAATTTCTGATTGACAACTGAGTTGTGAATTTCAAAAAATAAATAAATATAAATCCGATTAGAATTTTCTTTGTTTGGACGGTGAATACAAAATGTCACAAATGAATCCTTAGTGTATGTGTGTTTTGATGTGAATCCGATCTATAATTTAGAAATGCAATTTATCAAAGTTTATGAACCGTGTAACTTCTCGCACTCACAAACACACTCATCGACTTTTTGCCATTTAAATTTGATTAAATGTAGATGAGAGAAAACCGGTGCAAAAATTGATTAAAAGTGCAAATGATTAAAATCAGTCAGTGAAAAGTTAAATGAAAATCAAAAAAAAAAAAAAAATCAAACTGAAAATTAGTTTTTCACAAAAAAAAACATGTATTTTAGCAACCTGACCTCATTTTAAATATCGTTGAAAGTCAGCCATATGCCGGCCATCCAGTCAACCGAAATTAAATCCAATTTGCATTTCAAAATTATATCGAATATAAAAAATCCATACATAAATACGAATAAAAATGGAGAAAGAGAGAGAGAGAGAAATAGAGAGAATCCATTATGGAAACTTTTTCCCAATATATAAAATGGACACCACAAAAGAAAAGCAAGAACAAAACAATACAAAAGCAGATATATAAAAATGAGAAATGGAAAGAGAGACAGAGTGTGTGATCCACACATGTTGGTGGTTTGTTTGTTTTCATTGTTACAATTCGCCAAATAAAAACTCCAAGCCGGGGTCTTCGACCACACTCAATCGATGTATATGTCATGCCGCTCGGATTGAACGAACAAAAAACGTGGAAGCATTTCTGCAGTTCTAACGGTGAAGTTGATGGGAAAAAGAGAGCTTAACTTCTACTTAATGAACTACTTTGAAAACAAAACAAAAAAAAAACATTCGCCAACAAATCGAAACTTTTTTTGTATCGATGAAAAAGCCAAACAAAATTGTTTCGAAGCGAAAGAAACAAAAAATGCATAAAAACATCATGAGTTTTTTTAATTTTTTTTTTTCTAAATAATCACCATTTGATTTATTGGAATTTATCATGAATGGAATCCGTTTTGTTCTTGTCTTAAAAATTAGGGCATTTTACAAACATGGCAATAAATACATTTTCATATTGTTTCGAGTGAATTTGAAAATTTAACATTTATACATTGTATTGACAAGTTTTCATTTGGGTTCCATTTTTCTTTTAAGTTTTTTTGATTTCGATTTTCAATTGCTAATAAATTAATTTTTGGTTTTTGATTTAATTGATTCATTTAAAATAACACTTTGAACATTTAATTAATCACTTTAATTTTTTTTATGTGTTACACACGAGATAAACAATTCTTTTTTAAACATTGGGCTCATTTTTGAATCAAATATTAAATAACAACTTCTTATTTCAACTGATTCACACAGATTGGAAACACAATCAGATAACATAGAGTTTTTATTTGTTTAGAGAGAGAGAGAGAGAGTAAATGATATTGTTGATTTACGAAATCGAGATGTACATTTAGAAATGACGTGTATTCGCGTGATAATTTAACTGTGATACTTTCATATATAAATTGAAGGTGTGTGATCACAATTTTTGTGGTTTGAAAAAAAAAGTGACAGCGAAGTGTTTTTTTTTTGTTTAAATTATTTTATAGAATATATGTATATAAATTTCCCTAAGCCTACGATATAATAATTGATTCAATGCTATAATAAACAGTTTTGGTTTATTTGAGTTTTCATTCATTTATTTATAAATTACACCTATTACCCGATATTTCCGTTAGTTTATTAGCATTATTTTTCATTCACAAAATGTCCATTAACAATCACCAATTTTGGGTTAAACATATAGAGATGCGAGATTTTTTTTTTAATTTCTTTCTTGATAGAGTTTGTTGACTAGAAAATAACAAATTTACATATTTGGCTACACTTAGCAATAGAATGTGTTGGTCCGTTGATGTAGTTACTGGCTACACCTCTTGCACCGATAAAGGTGCGTTAAACGAGCCGATCCAATGCATTTAATCGATGCTCGATCAAATCATAATATTAACGATTTCAAAAGCAATAGGTAAATGGTGCATGTCACTTATGTGTGAAACATTCGGAAGGAAGATATTTTCTGGATAATAAATCATTGCGACTGAAACCTGGCTCATGTTTCGATAACATGGAAAATTAATAGATAAAGAGGTAAGGAGAGAGAGAGAGACGTAGAATAATGTAAGTATATCCATTTTATAAATGGATGAACAAATCGTTTATCAAAGTGTCGGTAAATGGTTCTAATGATGCCTAATAATTTAAGTTGTACTGAATATTTCGGTAAGAGACAACAACCTTTCATGAATGCTCCGAATAAATGTTGTGAAGCACCCGTTTCAATGAAGACTTATCGGTTGTTTTTTTTTTAACCAAAATACGTAGAGCAGAAAGTTTTTCGGTTTTTCGCTTTTCTTGCAATTTTCACAGCAAAATATGATAACATGTCATTTATTATGAGTTAAACCTAGAAAAAGTGTATTTTGTCGACGCATAAGAAAGAAAAATACACTGTCATGTATTCAATTGGGAAATGCCAAAGTGAACGCATCCCCCAAGAGACCCAGAGAAAATGTTAACAACTTGTACTTTATAAAAGTACGAAAATTTAATGAATAAATACACATTACGAAACAAATAAAAATGTCAATGTTGCAAGAGTCAGGCGAACACACACGACGATGCGATGTGAGTTAATATTGTTGAAGTGTGTAAGTGTGAATGAGAATGAGTATAAGTTGTGAATGCACTTCGAAGTGCTTCACATTCAAATTTGGATGTAGCAGATCTGACAAAGCAGATCTGACAAAGCAAGTGTGTGCGAATAATTCATTTATCCTCCGTCGCCTTTTAGATGTTAATCAAATGTGTCTGCTTGGAAAAATTGCTTAAAATAGATGATTTTTCCGTCAGACAAATACCATTTCACAAACATATCAATGCTATCAATAGCTATCGATCCGATGATGAATCTCTTTCCTTTCAAATCCATTCGAAAGCTATCGTCAATTTCACACGTTTCTTCATTAAATCCATTTTTCGATTTCACTTTGAAATACATGCTTTGAAGGGCATCTAACCCGAAACCGATGAAACTTTTATTAAAAAAACATGAACCATCTTATTGGACGTCAAATAAAAACTTTCTCCGAAAAAAATTCTACCTTTTAATTTTTAATTCGATTAAATTCGATGGCATGTGAATATATTGCAGTAAAAATTGAATGAAAAAATGACGAAACCAAATGGAATAATTTAAAGCATATTCATTGTTAACACAATGGATCAATAATTCGGTCTGGTATGCAGCATACCGAAACAATATGTGAGATCCGAAGCTTTGCCCAATAAATTTATAATCAATTTTCCTTTGGATTGACACATGCGAAAGCGACCATGCATTAAATCAATCTTATTCAATTTCAGTTCGATGCTCATGAAATGATTATGGCAACTACATTCCGAATGTGTGTCTGTGTGTATGTTTTATCAGGCTGAAGTCTACTTGAATGTACGCGTTCATATGAAAGTGATTGAATGGTATGCATGACATAAGCGACGATGAAGGCGACGACGATGGTGACGATTCTTCGACAATGGCCATCGTCGTTGGATATGTTATTCTCATATTGTGACTGATTTAATCGTATTTTCTCTCGCGGCATTCAATATATCAGGGACAATAAAACACAGTTGCTTACAGAAATTTACGGGAATACGATCATAAATTTCCACCGTAAATTCAATTTCAATGGCAATTCGAAATGAGACGAAAGGCTCAGCGTTTTCCGTAAATGGTCACCAACAACAATAATGTCGACGGCTCTTTTATTGCACCAACGACGTGTGTTGAACTATGGTTTGTCATACGGTTATTGTACACATGTCAGTTGAATGAACGTTCATGCATGCTTATGGAACGAGATCGTTTTTTTTTGCGACATGAGTATCAATATTGCCATGTCAACACAAATGCAATTCGATTAAAGGCGTTTCTTGACAATGTCTTACATTTCATTGCTAATCAAATTCGGTTGGTCGTTCTTTATGGAAGCGCGATTAACGATAAAACCAACAAACCATATTCGTCATTTTGCTGATGAAAAACATATGGCTTATACGTTCATTGATAATAAAAAAAGCTACCCCCAATGAATCTGCATTGCATCGCCTTTGTCAGACTGTTATGACTACCCACGCACACGAGTGCTGATAATTGAGACTACCATATGTTATCAAGAATAAACAATGATTTTGTTGAAAGTAAACTCAAATTTCAGACGTCTACGAAACAACAACCGAGCAAAAGAAAAAAAATATCCTTGAATCTCATCGGAAAAACCGCCGTTGGCTTCTATTGTAGTGATATTACGGTCTTAAATGCAAGTCATTTTGTACCATAAAAAGTGTCTCCTTCATAACGAGACATCTTTTTCACTTTCACTTGCTCTCTCGTTTCCATTCAATTGAAATGTGAAAAGAAGAAACCCTGAATGCACAATTATTCGTACGACCTGCGAAATATACGAATCATTAGTCAACGTTGAAGCGAATGAGAGCGGAAAAAAAGAATGCACAGCATTCAGAATGTGAATG